GGGCAGGGGAGGGAGATGCCCCTTGGGCATTGCCACGGTAACGCGCCCCCCAGCTGGGTGCTGCCCCCTGGCGGATGGACAGGGAACGGGGGGTCCGTTCCCCTGCGCTTCCCCCTCCGGCCACCAGGGGGAGCCCCGGGCCTGCTGAGCCCCGCCTGGGCACCCTGCCGGCCTGTGTGTGTGTACACACGTGTGTGTGCAAGGGAATGGGTGTACACGTGTGTGCGCGCATAAAGGTATGTGTGTACATACACGTGTGTGTAAGGATGTGTGTGGGCATATGCAAAGGTGAGTGTGTGTACACATGGGTGTGCATGTAAGGGTGTATGTGTATACATGTAAGTGTGTGCAAGGGGGTTTGTACGCATGTGTGTGCCTGCAAGGATGTGCGCATGTGTGTAAGGGTGGGTGGCTGTACTTGTGTGTGTACATGTGTGTTTGTGCATCTAAGGGGGTGTATGTGTGTCTTTGTGTGCATCAGCACAGCATAAGAACATACATGTGTGGGTAGGTGCACATATTTGTGTACATGTGTGTGAGCATGTGCAAAGGTGTGTGCACTGGTGCATTGTGGAAACACATCTGTGTGTGTGCATGCACATGATGAACACGTGTGTGCCAGGGTGTGTGTGCATATGTGTGTGTATGTGTATACATGCCCATGCAGTGTGTGAACATGTTTGTGTGTGCACACACATTTGCATAAGTGCGTGTGTGTACGCACATGTGCAAGCCTACATCCAGAGCTGCACGCACACAACACACACAGAGGCACATGCAAACACACTCACGCACATGCGCAGGTGTCCATGTGGATGTGCGCACGCACACACACCACCGCCCACATGCACAGAGGCAGAACTGTGCACGCGCGAGAGGAGACAGGGCTGGCCCTGCCCCTGGGGACACCCAAACAGACACACCAGCATGCCCACATGCATGTGTGTGCGTAGCAGTACGGAGGTGACCGTGGCCTACACAGTCCCAGGCACACACAGCCATGGCACACTGGCACCTGCTTCGCATGCACAAATGCACATGTATGCACGGCCACACTTCCAGGGGCACAGATGAGGCGGGGCTCCTTGAAGCCCCGCCCACCAGCCAAGAGCAGAGCAGGGTCCACATGTGTAAACACACACACACACATGCACACAGGAGGGTGAGGGCAGGAACCACACACATGCACACATGTACACACATGCGCACACCCATACACAGAGGAGGGTGGGGGGAGGGACCCCACACGTGCACACATACACACGTGTGCACACACAGAGAGGGTGAGGGTAGGGACTACACATGGGTGTGCATACACACACACACACACACATGCAGACATGTATGCAGGAGGCCAAGAGCAGGGCCCACATGTGCACATCCATAAGCACATGCACACACACAGAGCAAAGGCAGAGACCACATGCATGTACACATACACACGCACCCCCCCCCCCGAGGGGGCCCAGGCCCAGTGTGCCCAGGGCAGCTCCTGGGGGCAGGGCCCACGTGTGCCCAGGGCAGCTCCTGGGGGCAGGGCTGGGCCGAGCTGGCACCCAAGGGGTTAACCCCCCCCCAGGGTGCTGGCATAGGGTGGGGACTGGGAGGGCACCCCCTCCCACCCCCCATTCATGCAGCGCCCATCAATAATTCGCCAGCTCGTGGCTCCACGCGGAGCCTGGGCACGGGGTGGGGGGCTCGAATAATGAATGGCCCCCACAGGCTGGCCGAGGTCGGGGATGCAGTGCCACTGGGCACTGGTCAAGGCTGGGGGGGGGCCCCCCCCGCGGGGCGGGAGGGGGGAGCAGGAAGCCGGCCG